CTGGGGCCGAATCTGGCCGTTGATTGTTGCTCTGAATGTAGGGAGTTTGTGCGACGGAAGGCGTCCACTCCGAAAAAGGTACTGCTTCCTCCTTCTGCTGCCCCCTCACAGCCACAGTGAGATCCTCCGGTCGTCCACCTCCCGCCATGATGAGGCGGAGACAGTCTCTGAAACGAGAGCAAAACAATAGCTTGGACAGCATGATCCAGTTTGTGATTGGGTGAGCCGTGAAGCAAACACCGACCGAGGGAAAGACTACCTACTTGATCCTACTTGCAGGACTTGGTAGCCAGATGCAGTCAGAGTGTATTTTCCCAGCATCGCAGCATGGCATGTCAGCAGTGGTGATTGATTGGTTGAAACGCAGTGGGCCTTAGCGGGCCTGCCGTGCCAGTGGGATCAAGATCCGCACTACGGAGAATGCCTTGAACCTCACAGCCATTAGTGCCCTTTGTCGGGGTCCCAGGCTCCTGCTGCGGCACTCTTTCTTTTCAACGGCTTTTGGTCCCGCAACCATTGACAGAAAGTGGATCACTTTTGTGTTCTTTCTGATCATTCTTTCTTTCCACAAACTGGGATTGGAGCGGAAACAAAGAATCCCAAATCGCCAGATCACGTTGTGCTTGAGAGTGCCATTCATCACAAGAAGCGCCCATTTTGGGTCCAATCTGGGGCAATCTGCAGGGGGCACCCCATGCTGTACCGTGGATGCTGCTTCAATTTGTTGTGTTGAGAAGAAACATGAAGAAACTATTTCCAAAACAAGAGTGGAACCGGCAAAACTGTACTGTTCCTATTGCAGATCCGTTGCTGTGTTTTGTATCAACTTATCACAGCTTGTGATCGGATTCCCCAAACACCGCAGTTGCAGTTGAGTGAATCGACATACATTACCTGAGGTCGTGCTGACTGTGAGGCGAACGCCTTCTTTCCAGAGTTCTATCCGGTCATATCGGAAGGAGTTCGGGATGCTCAGTACACCGTGACTTTTGACTTAGTCATCAAATTTGATCAATCTATTGCCTTATCCGCATGTTCACCTGAGCTTACTAAGTCCATGCTGGTTCGATGAGGTCTAATGTAGTATTACATTAAGTATATCTTCAGTCTTCCGACCCTTTAGAATAATGTCCCAAAGTTCTTTTGGCTTTTGAGTCTCAACGAGATCCGACCTTTCGCTTTTATTTCAGATGTGGGAGCGTCCACATCGTCGCTTTTTCCGGACTCTCAGCCAATTTGGAGCAAACCGATGGACCGGCTGAGCGCCAGGTTTGGACCTTCAACATGAGTTCCTGTCCAAACAATTGCAACAACCATGGCCGCTGCGACTTCAGCCAATGTGTGTGTGAACCACCGTGGCCAGAAGCTCAGATCAGCTGGAGGACGGCCTGGACTTCTGTTGTGGGCGCCGTTTGTCCGACTCCACCCACCGAATTTGCAGCATCAAAAACGTGGCGCGCAGTCATTAGGTATGGCGCCGACTGCTCCCTTCGAAAGTGTCCTGGCACTGTTTGCTATGCTGACTCTTCGACGAAGGACAGAACCGATGGTCGGCACGCATGGCCGAAAGTCCGACGAGTTCGAACAACTCGGAATCAGCCTAAGCTGTCCTAAGCTAGAAAGACGTTCACACTTCATGAACATTTGTGAACAAACCTCCTTACATACATCTTCCTGTAACTATTCTGTCTACTGGGTGTGTCTTAGCATCTTTGGAAGTGTTTCCACCGGCATGGATAGCCACCCTTGCAAGGAGCAGTTCTGCCTAGAGTGTTCCTCCCGCGGCCGTTGCATTGAGAATGCCTGTGTTTGCGATCCAGGGTAAGCCGGGCTTGGCTTCTTGCTGTTTTCAGGGAGCCATTTGGTTTAGGAGGCTGGTGTCCATTTGGAGGCCCATGTGTTTAACCGAGTGGATGAAAACGATTGCTCAAAGCAAAACCCATGTAGCCAAGACCTTAACTCCTCTGCGCTGACTGAACTCACTACTCCGCTGCTCCTGAACTTCTTTGGGCCAGGTGGTCCTACGAAGATTGCTCAGTACCAGTCTGCGAGAACAACTGCAGCTCAACTCCTTTCGAGCAGCGAGGAGTCTGTGTCGAGGAGAGCTTTTTCGACAGAGCTTCCAAGAAACGTCGTCATGGGCCAGAGACCGTCTCCGTAAACAGAAAAGACCGTCTCCGTCTGAGTCATGAAATGATTTGTTCATATTTGTTCTTTTGATGGGAGATTGTAGTTGGTAGACCTCGGTCCCGGACGGGTATCCGTCAACGTATCTACTTCTAGTATTTTGACACATCGACGCAGCTATTTCAAGGAGCACAAACATAATCACTGGTATCAAACAGAACCAGAAAGTGGTTGCGAGGAAGAAATGAATAGGAAGGGAAGGAAGGACGTACAAGAGTCCTTGCAGAGCATGGTTTTGGCGGGTGATTGATCCCCCCTTCAGCCCCTTCGGTGGCCTGCCGAGCTTTAATGGACACAAGCTTCTAACTCACGGAGGATCTTTTTGAGTCTTGGAACAACTGGTGACCTGTTTACAATATGCATGGTTGTTTTTTTGGCGCAGTTCTTGATGTTTTCTGCGGTGGTCTTCCGTATTTTCTCTTCCACATAGAGCTCCAAGGATTACTATCCTCCAGACTTTTGAGCAGATTATGTCCTTTTTTCCATGGACGACACTCTTTTTGGGATACCAAGGACTGAAGGACTTGATCCCAAACCAAACTTGGGATGTATTGATGTAGGGATGATCCCAAGGGCCAAGGCGGCAAAGGCATGTTCACCATTCCACTCATCCTGCACCCTATCGGACCGTCGATGGTCAGGACTTTCCAGTTCATCAATGTCATTGTTTTGGTCGCTACAGCGGCTATAATTGCAGTGAGTGCGCTGGGCATTTCTGGAACAGTCGAAGATCTTCGTGTTATGTAACTGAAGTTCTTTGGCCTGTTTTGCCTGCCATCATGTTCCATAACTCGTTCAGCATCAGTATGAGGCTAGTACAGCAGGCCACTACACCTTTCCATGTTGACCCCAGGCATAAAAAAGCTGAAAACATCTGCAGATGCCAAGAGCAGCTTTTTGGCTGTGCAGGTCCTAGGCCACCCCACAACCCGATGCTGCAAGCCCTGCCATGCCAACTTAGTGGTATTGCCAGATGCGGCTACTCATATCAGGTTGCTTTGCCTGAATGCCTGTTCAGGGTCGTGCTCTCAGCCATTCAAGAGTCTTTGCATCTTGTTTCCTCTGTTTTTTGAGTTTGAAGAGGCTCCAATAGTCACTAGTTCTAGTCTTCCTTTCGGATGCATTCGGATGCCCCCAACCAACGACATCGTCGTGGTGGTGGTGGTGGTGGTGGTGTGTAGCGTTAGGTTTGGTGGCCTCATGTTCAAATGGAGGTGGTGTGGACTAGACAAACTGATAAGCACCTGCCTCGACTTCAATGCCCTTTCCAAGGCGAGGCATTTGCGTGAATGGCATGTGTCAATGTGAGATTGGGTCGGCAGCTGAGCAGAGCCACGCACTTGGGTGAGCGGATCGGATTTGCTGAGAAAATGATACAAGATGATACAAGGTAATACAAGGCAGGGGTCGCCTAAGGGTCCCAGCTCCTCTCAAAAGTGTATGTTTGATTTGTTTGCTTTGTTTTGGTTGCTTTTTGGCCTCTAAATATACTACCGTCTAGGGCTGATGCAACTGAAAAAATCCTCTGAAGATTTTGGGAACAGCAGCTTGAGATTTCAGCGTTTTCTTGAGCAACAAGATCCATACATCCATACCAGGACCGGATTTCTGACTCTTTGTTTTCAGAATCTTCACATATTTGCAGGTGGTTGGGTGCCTTAGGGTTGATCTAGTCTCTTTTTGCCTCTACCTTCATTCGGCTTAAGCGTGAGGTTTCATGGCGATGACTGCTCGATTTTTATGATCGAATTTGAGAACCAAAATTTCGGCATCTATGCGGATGAAGAAGCGGCTGGCACTGATGCCGCCACCGCGGCGTAGCCGACCAGCTACTGTAGATGTCCTGAAACACATTTGCCATTCGTGATGAAATGGCACATTGCACCACTCAAACATGCTTGAAGCAGGTTTCGAAGGACATCAGGCTCAAATTATTCCCGCAAAATGCGGGAACTTGTCCATAACGCTCAATCTGAACCTTGCGGCAGTTTCCGGTACAAACTCTTTCAAGGGAGCTTGTTCTTTTTGCAGGCTGCAAGATTCAGATTTGTCTCAGTGGGTGTGTTCCGCACACTATGGTGTTGCAAAAGCTGCTCGTTTGGTGGACAGAGCTTGGGTCATAAGTGGAACGTAGTGCTTTCAGGGCTCCCGGCCGGCTGACTGGCTGGTCTTGGCAGGAAAAGCGCTGATCAATGGAATGGACGCCCTGTGCCAAGTGGATTTCTAAGTGAAAGCATAATAAGGTTCTTTAAAGGACAAACAATTGCAGAGGCGGAAAGAAACACTAATCATAACTTTGCTTTTCTACGTACTAGCTAGCGCCGCTGAGGTAGTCGGGGGAAGCCAACCAAGACGTACTGAGGGACGCTGAATATGCTACCTCTCACAGTAGACGTGGCGATGTGGGTTCTGAAATTGATCCCTCCGGTGTGCTATGACTTGGTACTCCCTGCGGAACCGTCCAAAAGATTGCGCCTCACAAACATCATGTTCGAGCATTTAGATCACGAGGGAGAGAGTCACGCGTTTAGAAACTAAATGCAATTGTATGATTCTGTCGGCTCAAGCATAGCGAGTGGAGGGTGCCATATCACGAGTCAATGCTAGGGCCACATTCCTCCAGTACTCCTCAGCAGTGCACCGACCACTGCCGATTAGGGCATGCGTTCCTTTCGACCTGTATGAAGATTTTCACCGTAGTGCGGATTCAGGGCTTTCCGAATCGGCAGGACTGTCAGCGTGTCTAAAGCCAAGGACTGTCTCAGCTTGTCTAGGCGGCCTTGTAGAGGTGCTCGTGCCCCAAACCGCCCGCCATGAGCAAGGCAGCCAAGGCCAATCAGGCCGGTTGCTGTGCATGTTGGATGCTTGCAGTGCTGAAACGAAGTTCTGATGGCTTTGATATGCTTTGATCAAAGACATTTCAGTCGAAGATTAGTCTTGCTCAGGCACCCAGCAAGATAGCTGAGTCGTCCTTTGGCGCGGAGGATGAAGTCGTGGCCTGATGTTGTGAGCAAACATCGTTCTCGCATTCAGATGTACAGCAATCGTTAGTTTTGCAGGTGCAAAATCGCGATTTAAGATTTTGATTGGTGGTTATTTCACGGATTTCCGCAGGATGTCTACCATCAAACCCCTGATAGAAGAGGCTTGTGCAAAAACAAAGTTCCTGAAGGTCATTTTAAGCCTGATCATGCCAAGGCACTTGGACAAGGTCTCCCTGCGCATTGGACAATAGAGGCTGGAGTGACATTGAGCCACCAATTTGCAGAGGAGCATAATCTGCCATGGGGGCACACAGCGCAGATGGCGCGTTATTTGCCTCCAGGAATTGCTGTAAGCGGCTTGACGGGTATACGTTATAATATATATATATACATTGACGTCAGGCTCTCACGAGGACTGCCTCAATTTGTGACAGCTCCCGGTAGCTTCTCATGCCCCCCGTGACTTTTTCACGTATTCCTTTCATGTTGACACATCTTTCGCATCTGCAAGGCTCTAGATGAGCGGGTTCAGAGTTTGTTGGAGAGCTACTTGTCCTCCGCAAAGTCTGACGACGCCATCAAGAACTTCAAGGATATGCAGGGAACCGCAGGGCCTAGATATGTCATGCTTAAAAAGGGCGTTGACTTACGCTTTGGTGCAGTGTAGTGCCAAGTGGTAAATGGTCCCCAACACGAGCGGTGCCGAACATGGAAAAGGCGACCGCTGTGTGAGGTGTGACAGATGTTAATGTCCACTTGATAAAGATATCAATAATTTGATTGAAGTGATCTTCCCCGCCCGAGACAGACCCAGACAAACTGGCTCGGACGGAGGATTTTGCAGCCGAAACTCCGGGGGTCTTTGATGAGGCCGGTGCGGGGAATTCTTGACTTTGCCTGGCATTGGGCTGAAGAAAAATGGCAGACCTGTGTATGTACAATACGGTATAGGGCAGTGAAAAGGGTTTGCCAGCAACTTTTTTGAAGTGAGAGACAGCCAGCTAGATCCCCACGATCTGTTCGTGCTTGGATCAAGTCTGCGAGCGTGATTATCGAACGTACAACATTCTCCACAAGAAACCTAATTAACGAGCTGATTCGACTTGAAAAGCCATTAAGAATTTTTGAGTGCTACAGATGAGGCTTTTGAGCAAGGCCACACCCTATCATTTTCCTGGCTTGTAGATGAGAATTTAAAGTTGATTGATTCTTGGATTGGTTGCTGATTGCCGTTCGCAGGTGGTGGTTTGTGCCTTGCGAACAGCTCTTGGTCGAACAGAGAAGCAGCGAAAAATGGTCACAGACCTCTTGGAGCTTTTGTACAAGGAGTCATGAGGGATCGGGGCCCGAATCGGGGGGGGCAAGGGCAAGGGTTAAGTTTGAGGCCTGAAAGCATGGATATCATAGCAGTGAACAGTCAGTCCGAGGGCTTTGAAGGAACCCTTCGGTGACAGGCCTCGGCCTTCGAACCCTCGGTTTCCGTCTTCTTTGCGAAAACACACCCGGTTGTGGGTGGTTGTGGCCAAAAAGCGGAACAACAGAGACTTAGCTTGCGTGGACTTAGGATCACAGACTGCCAAGAGAACACCATAGAACAGCGCGCTTCCAGCGAGGCACCTCGCTTCCTCCCCGAACCATGAAGCTGGAACAGGTCTCGTTGAGCTTTTCAACACGCTGCAGGACAATGTACTTGACCGACCTTCACTTGTGAGGGGCTACGCGACACTGATTTGCACCTGGCAGGCCCAACATGGTGAGAGTGGGGAGGGCCTAATTATTTGTTGATTTCTACTGCAGGGAGATTGTGGAGTTTGTGACAGATTGACCTTCACTGTTCTGCATTAGCTAGCTAGCGTTCCTTGATTCACCAATTCCTTCCGAATCCAATCTGCGCTCTGTCTTTTGAACACTTATTGTAAATAAGTTAATCCCTGGTGGCACGGTTGCAAGATGTTGCAAGGAACTGTCCTCTACCAGTGGCAGTGATGCCTTGACCCACTTGGCGGCAATGCTGTGGGAGACTCTGGCGATTCGTCACGCCTGGATTTTGGTCAGCAAGAAACACAATTCTCACAGCGGGCACCCCGACCTCAAGTGGAGGTTGGAGCATGTGAAGGCTAATACTTACTTATTACTTATATAAATACAAACTGCTGGGCCATATCATATAACCTGCGGGACATATGAGGATGATAGAAGCGGCATTGATCACAGGCCTACTGATTCTCGCAGGAAGGGATGAACAGGACCACTGGTGTGTCACTCCTTATGTGGTTGAAGCTGCCGCTTAGGCTGAAGTGCATCAGAAGCGGATGCATAGTGGAAGAGTTTCTGACTAGGCCTGGCTGACAGAGTGGGAGACTGCAGGCTTTGGCATGCGCAAGCATGGAGTTCATATATTTAGGTACTTTGGAATTTGGAATGGGCAATTGTCCGACTTTGAAACAGGCTCCACGAAAACCACAAATTATATAGCAGCAGAAAGAGTTTATGTGATGAGTTAGTTTATCCGAATGAGTCTTTGCCTGCTGCTTCCCCTCAACCTCTTCCCAAGTTTGGCCCGCAGACCTGTGGGCCGTGTGGGCCGTGCTGTTCGTCACCGGGGTCAGACTCGCCATGGCATCATGGGATCGGTGGACATCCCTGGGCAACTCCATGCAAGTCCATCTCATATTTTGTCAATTTTGTTGACAGTGGTGCGTTTGAAACATGTTTAACCAGCACATGCCCCTTGCGTTTTGATCCACGGCTCTTCTTTGGTCTTCTCCACAAGCAATATGGAGCAGGTTGCCTGAGGGCTTTCTAGCAGCAGTGCTTCGAGATGACGAAGCCCAGGCTGTGGTCTCGTGGCAAGTGATGTGTTTTCGTCACCTGGAACCAGGCCGTTGTGCAAATGTAAGGAGTGCAACATCATCCAGGTCCACGAAAAGTAAACCTGATCACATAGAACCTCTTCAATCACTATTGACCACCTACAACCCTTCTTGGGGCTATTTGGCAACAGTCCACGCCCAGCGTGCTTGTGGCCAGCCTGTTCCAGGATACGAAGGAGCTTGAGAAGGCGGGCCTCATGACCCGTTTCCCGTGTTGAACATGATCTTACAACAGACCTCTTGAGCAGCTCGTGAAAGATTATAGAAAGAGACACTCCTGAGGTCCTAGCGGAAGGTGGATCAGCGATTTTGAAGCAGTTATTATATACTTATGGTTGGTAAGGTATTCATATTCTATAGAGACTCGGGACCTGCAGCAATCTCATTTTGTGCTGGTATGTTGTGCTGTCCATCCATTGATGTCTTGAGTAATTAGATTTTATACCTTCCATGCAGATCAGGATTGTGAAGCATGAACTTCGAGGTTGAATGCCCCAAGCCAAAGGACGCACTATACAGGTCTTTGCACTGTGATCAGGTCCGAGATCGCTTGCATCACTTCAAGCAAGGGATTGAGGTGCGAGAACCTGCCTGAAAAAAAAACATTGCCCAGCCCATGGAGGGCACGAGGGCGATATTCGGTATTTGAACATATTTCAAGCAAGTGCTCCATGTTCTTGTCTTGGTGGCCCCACTTACTTGAGAATGCGGCCTTTCCAGGGCGCAAAGCTCTTGGAAACACCACTGCCATCGGTGGAGCAAGCGTTTTCCGTCCTCAAGGACCAGGCCTCGGCAGACAGAAATAGAAATGGATGGTGAAATGATGACGGAAAGCGATGAATATCGCTTTGAGTTGCTCCCCGGAGGTTCTGCTGGGGGGGGGGGGTGAAAGTTCGAGATTTTGATTTGCAGACTTTTGGGGTGTCTTGAGGCAGGATCGAAGGTGCAAAGAACACTGTAATTTACAGTAAAAAGTGGCTTTGGGTGGGTTTGTGTTGAGCTTATTTGCCCTCAAAAAGTTGCATTTTACCTGCACGGGAGGCAATTTTTGATGTTTTTATTGTTTTCTGGCATTCAAAGGCTTTGAAGGGCAATGTGCATAAAACACTGTAAAACACAGTGAAAAAAAAATACTTTTTGAGATCATTAATGCACTGTTTTTTGACAAACTGGGCCCCGACTTTCCACAAGGGAATCGGATACAAAAATGACAGAGAAAATGCAAAAAAAGTCGGCGGCGTTCCACAGCACCACTTGCATCACTACGAGGTGCATGGGAGGCACAAAGATTACAGAAGAGACGGAAACAAAGCAAATCAACTTAAGATGAGAACTTTTTTGTCACCAAGGCCCACAAGAAGACAGAAAGAGCACAGACGAGACAAAAACAAAGCAAATCAACTTAAAGCAAATCAACTTAAGATGAGAGTTTTTTGACACCAAGGCCCACAAGAAGACAGAAGGAGCACAGAAGAGACAGAAACAAAGCAAATCAACTTAAGATGAGAGTTTTTTGGCACCAAGGCCCACAAGAAGACAGAAAG